TAACGTGCCACCGAAGTAATTTCCAAGCCCCGAACCACTCCGAGCGACTGCTCTCCGTTCTACGTGACTTACGTTATAAATGTACATTCTAAATTCCTACTTACATACGTAAGGCGGCCAGGTCTTTGTTAAAGTGAGGGAGATTCGTCAGTGATGTGGTAAGGACCGCCTGGTGCAGTGTAAGTTGCTGGTAAGGGTCAGACATACTTCTGAGCCGCCTTACAAACTGAGTTACGTAGAATGCAGAGCATTCGCTCGGAGTAGTTTTTTTATTATTATTATTATTATGTATTTATTACGGCCACGAGAGCCTAATTCAAGTATCATTAACAATTTGCTATCTTATAGCTAGGGTTTTACAATATTCATACAGTTTTTTCTTAAAAACTAAGATTTCATTACAGGTTTTTATATCCATAGGGAGTTCATTGAAACATTTGAGACCTTTATAGAAAATGTTTTGTTTATCTATTTCCGTTCTAAACAATGGCAGTTTAAAATTTTGTTTATTCCTTGTATTTACATTGTGTGTTTGCTCTACTAACAATACATTTTTACTAAGGTATTCAGGTACATTACCATGCTTTATATTATAAATTAACTTCATGGAGTGAAAGAAAATTTTTTGCTTAACACTTAGCCAGTTTAAACTGTTCAGCATATCAGCCGTTCTGGCATCACTACGTTTTTTAAGTATAAATCGCATACACCGGTTTTGAAGCTTTTGAAGCTTATCAATTTCACTATCTGATATTATGAATAATATCGATGGACAATATACAAAATGTGGCTCAATAATAGATTTATATATAAGTATTTTATATTTTTTATGTAGATATTTGGATGTTCTCTGCATAATCCCAATTTTTTTAGCTACTTTCGCAACGGTGTATTTTATGTGTTCCTCAAATTTAAGTTTATTATCAATTATAATACCTAAATATTTGATACTATCTACTCTTTGTATGCTTTCATTATTTATTTTCAATTCAACGTTGAGATCATTAAAGTTTCTTCTGGTTATAATCATATATTTTGTTTTGTTAATATTAAGTTTGAGTCTATTTCCGCACAGCCATGTATATAAATTATTTAGTGCCATTTGCATTTTCGATATAGCGACATTAATATTATTTTCACTTATCATAATTAATGCATCGTCGGCGAAGAGTCGAATTTCACATCCCTCGACGGCATTGACAATATCATTAATGTAAATTAGGAACAATATCGGTGCCAGAACCGACCCTTGTGGTAACCCTATGGGTACTTCCAATTCCTCCGATATCGCTGTATTTATCACAGTTCGTTGCCTTCTCTGCTTCAAGTAGCTGCTAAACCATTCTAGCTCCGTACCAGTTATACCAATTCGTTGCAGTTTTTTTAGTAATATGTCTCTATCCACCGTTTCAAATGCCCTTTTGAGGTCCAGGAATACCGAAACAACTACATTCTTATTATTTAGCTCTCCTTTCCAATCAGCTATCACCAAATTGAGGGCTGTCTCACACGAATGTTTTTCCCTAAAGCCCGATTGTTGTTGGACTAAAATTTTATTTTCTTCGAGGTACATCATCAGTTGATTCTTGACATGTACTTCTAATATTTTGGCATCACTTGGTAGGGTATTTATTGGTCTAAGCTCTTCTGGTTGTATTGTCTTTTTGACTTTTTTGACAGGTACCACTGTCGACGTTTTCCACCGTTCTGGTACAATACCACTTTCCACACTATCATTAATAATAAGTGCATAGAAGTACCCTAAATACTCTATAGAGTCTTTCAGTACTCCATCTGATAACAGTTTTCGTCCGCCAATTTTGTATTTAAACGTTTTTATAATATTTATAACTTCAGCGGTTGTTATATACGAAAATTTAAAACTACAGTTGGTTTGACTACTGTTCATTACTAGGTCAAAACAAGGTATGTTTCTATTTATTTCAATCACACTGTTTATGAAGAATAGGTTCAGTTTATTAGCCACTTCGGTATCATTCTCAACCAGTACACCATCTATTACAACTTTTTTGATACCATCGTTATCCTCTGCAAGACAAGCCGCCTGTTTGAGGTGCTTCCACATTTCTTTAGCGTTATTTTCACTCATTTTTACTTTATTTTCCATAAATTGAACTTTTTTTATTTTAATTAGTTTTTTGTACTTTTTATTTATACTTCTGTATTCATCCCACACTCCAGTCTGTATAGCATGTTTGTATATATTAAATTTATTTTTATTCATTTGTGCCAGTTCATGGTCATACCATTTATTCATCAGCTTTATATACACTTCTTTCTCGTAAGTCAAGCTTTCCATTGCTTGCACTATGTTGTTGTTTATAAGTTCCACTTTATCATCAATTTGCAAGTTATTATAGAAATTGAAATTGTACGATCTTAGTATGTTTTGTAAACTTTCACGACTGTATCTGTCCCAAGCAGTAATTTTCTTCACCATTCTCATTTTGAACGATTTCGACGTCTTGACACTGAAATGTATTGTTTCATGGTCAGAGATTTTGAAATCCATCAAATTTTTGCATTCTATTTCTTCCGAATTTGAATACAGTAAATCAATTTTAGTTTCAGTTGTATTTGTAATTCTTGTGTTAAACTCTACTTTTTGGGACATTCCCATTACAGAAAATATCTCGGACAGTTTAGTACTATATGTAGAAGTGTAGTTCATATTTATATTAAAATCTCCCACTACTATATTATGGTTGCTTTTATCATATTTAGTAAGTAATATTTCTGTTAAATAATCCAAAAAATCTGCATCACTTGTGCTAGGCGAGTGATAAAGCACGCCAATTTGAAATTTTTTATCGACCTTTTTCATTTTTATTATTATGCACCATATATTTCGATTAACACTTGCATTATAAATTATATTGAAGTCAATTGTGCTATGCACATATATTATCACTCCTCCAGTGTGTCTGCAGTGTGAGTCACATCGAACCATTTTGTATGTTGCTATATCTAATTCACTATCTTCCACATTTTCCGTCGTACACGTCTCAGAGCATAGTATAATACTCGGCTTGTGTGCTGCCGCCAACACTTCTAATTCACCTTTGTTAGATATTATGCTGTTCACGTTTAGATATATGCAATTTAGAATGTTGTTTGTGTGCAGATTTTCCCTTCGTTTTCTTCCCCTTATCTCCGTTGGTTTTGCCTGTAACCTGCACATTTGTTGCTAATATCCTAGCCTTTGCTTTTTAGCATTTAAATGCTTCAAGTAGACCGGACATTGCCTACTCTTGCACTGATGATTGATATCTAGCCCTAGTTTGAGCTTTTCATTTGACTTTATACAGTTTATGCACTTGTTTATCGGTGGATTAACACATCCGGTGGATTTGTGGTTTCCCAAGCATTTGGCGCACACTTCATCGTTCTTGCACTCAGCAGCTTTGTGGTTGTACCCTTTACATTTAAAGCACGTTGTCACATCAACACCATCATAGACTTTACATCTTTCCCAACCTATATTCAGTTTATCACATTTCAGAGTGTTATTAAAACTTTCTTCATCCACCTCTATTATTGCATTATAATAACTATTATTTTTATTTTTCACATTATACTGCCTAATAATTTTAACTTCACCCTTTTCTAGACATTGGTTTTGCTTCTTTAAACACTCGATTAGTTCGTCATTACACTTTCCAAGGCTCATGCCTGTTATAAACAATTTTGGTTTATAATCTCGCGGAATCTTTATTTCGTATCCATCACTAATATTCGTATCCATAATTTCTTTGATTTTGTCTCTTTCATCCACATTAACACTCTCAATTATCATAACACCATTTTGACCAGTCTTAATGTCTGTAATTTTCAGCTCGTTAGGGTTAATTTTATTATTTAAATCCTGCTTTGTTTTTTCACTCGTTTGTTTGGTTCTTGGTTTCACAACAATAGGCGCACGTTTCTTAAATTCCGGCACGTCTCTACCAGCATTTTTATTCATATTTGTTTTCACCATATTTGCAAATGACGTTTGTTGTTGTGTTGCACTATCTTTTATTTCTTTCCCCAATGTTTTTATTTCCCCGCATAGCTTTTCATTTTCCTTCCCAGCTACATCAGCTGTGCTTTTCATTTGTTCCACTACCTCTCGCACTTTCTTTATTTCTGCTGCATTTCTTACATACATTTCCTGGTGCATTTTTAGGGTCGCTAATCGTTCATTATATTTCACCTCCATCGCCTTCATTAACTCTCTCAATTCCCGCTGGTTCGTATTCAATGCTTCTTCAAATTCATTTTTGTACTCCTTCAAATACATACTGTTCTTGTTTACACTTTCTTGCATGTCTCGCACTACCATATCAACATTTTGTATATATGTAATGCACTCATCACAAATAAATTTCAACATTGGGTGCGTTCCTATTACCCCATACTGGAAGTTATCTAAGCCAGAGCATCTTGGTGCAGTGTGATATGCCTTCCCACACACACCCATACATCTGACACCTGTTTCCCCTCTTATTGGGACTTTACACTTCACACACTTGTCGTTATCTGACATTATGTCTTCACTTTTCGCACTGTGTTTTTATTTTTCGCGGTAAACACGTATGCATATGTATGTATGCGTCTCTATTCGCTTATGTATTTTGGAAAAATTATTAAATATGACATTTAAGTAATATTTCCCAGATTTTTTCACAACATTTTCTTAGTCAATTTGTAGAGTCACTATCTCGCATATATATGGTACACTTTTTAACAATTATTTATTAGCTTCAACATTTCTAAACAGAAATTCCGAGAGCGGCATGTAAAAACGACTTGCTTGCTCAACATACATATGTATCCGGCGCTTGGAAATAACTTCGGCGACACGTTATTTATCAACTGACTACGTAATGTGTCGTCGGAGGTGATCATTTTGTGCTTTACTAGTAGATGACATTGGTCATGATGACAATTTTAATACTAAAAACTAGAAGAAAACATGGCTTACCCCGTAAGGTGCTTACCTCTTTTCCCAGTGGGAATGTGTGCATTCATTTGTATATATGTACATACACGTATCCAATAAATATATATAGATATACCAATAGATTTTGTTTTCTGTCCATACTTTTGTTTATTTCGGTAGGAATGTTTTATATTATTCCATCCTAGCTACTTTTTCATTAGCTTTGTTTATGGACTAACAAATAAGCCATATACACATGATAAAATATGTGCATATGTATGTATATCGATGCTTTCGAGGAACTTGGCACGCTCCATCACCATTGTTTTCGAGTAAATTCCAACAAAATCGTTGATGGTGCACTTGACCGTCCCTGGCTTATCTACCTGCGCACATCATACATACTGCCTATGATTGCAGTTTGCAATATTTTTTCTCAGCTGATTTTGTCCTTTGGCTGATTTCCCTTATGTGTTTTAAAATAAACTTTATAGAAAATTGGTGAAGCAAATACCTCCCCATTCATTGTTACCTTTCTACTTACATATATACATGAATATTTATATACTATATGTTTGTATATACATAAATGTACGTACATATGTATGTATGCTTATAGATTTGTTTGCGTACACATCGTACGCCTATATTTATTTATATTTGACTGCCACTACCACAGGGTGACTTTAATGCTCATCACTTTTATTGATTTCTAAAAATAGTATAATGCAGTGCAGGATCTGCATCAAAGTAGGCAAGTACATGCATTCGATGGCCAAAACCACAATTATAGAGGTGATGGTAAAAGAATATTATTATTATTGGCTTTAATATACAAGCATATGTCACATGTCTATTAGGCGTTTTAATGATATCACATTTTTTTCTATTTACTTATTCGTAGTAGAATGTAGGCATGGTAGAATTATACCAGGTGAAGTAATTAGAGCGTGAAGAAATATTTTGACACTACCTTATTATTCCATATAACAGTTTTCAAACCATATATATACATATGTACATATCTAACGTGCGCCAAAATTTCTTTTTCATCACCATCTTCTTAAACTAGAAAAATACTCTTTAATCAGTCTGCACACGGGTCGTTTAGCTTTAAACTAGTTTTATAGCTATATACTAGCTAGTATAGCTTTAGAATTAGGCTGTTTTTGTTTCGCGTCGCTTGCGGAGCATCAACAGTTTTATTGTTTTCCTGAAAATTTGTTGCGAAAATCATCCGCTAATCATCCGACTGCGCCGTTTGCCATGCCACAGACCAATTTTTAGTAAATACAAGGTAGGAAAATAAATCCCGCTATTTCTTATTTTTTTTTTCTAACGCAGACTCATAAATGAGCTTTTGACATTTGGCCTTTAAACGGCTAATCGGCGTTTTGTCTCAATTACTTATTCGCACGCGTTAATTTCCTGCAAAAGTCTTCTTTAAAATAAAAAAAAAACTAGACAGAATTTTAATGCCATATACATACATACTATATTCCATGTATTTTCATGCAGTTCGTTCACCCACAACAACGCAGCAACGAATTCCGCAGTCACCATTTCAACCGACACCTCTCTACCAACGCACCATAGCACGACAGTATAAAATCGGACAGCGTCAAAAGCTGAAATACCGACAAAGCAGTGAATAGCGTTGTAAAGATTCTACATTTGCACGCGTAATTTCCTCAGACATAGCGCAGAAAAGGAAAATTTGTAAATAAAAGAAATTTTGTGGATGTGAGACAATAGCCAGTAGAACAAACGCAACCAACGCTTTACCTTGACAGTGACGACGTCGACAAAAGTGGCAAGTCAGTGGAGGAAGCAAACCAAACGTATTGGAAAAAGAAAGAAGCTGTACATACATACATATCTATAGTTTCTTGAAAACATTTTAATATATTGTACTAAATAAAAGAAACTCTTAAACAGGCTAGCCAAGTGAGTAGCTTCAGTGGTCTGACATGTCATCAGCTGAGGAGCAAAATAACAAGATGAATGAATTAACGCCGGAAGAGGTAAAACATTAACTAATATATGTTTGAATTAAAGTGACAAATAACTGAATTTCTTTACAGATACGCGCTCGAAGATTGCGTACATTAGCGGTAGCTAATACCCCAAAAGTAAATACGCCCAGCAGTACCGCAACTACAACAATAGAGAGCAGCTCAAGCTCCACTACAATTCCGACAACACCAGTGTCAGCGGATGATAATGAGAAGGGCTTAGGTATGTACATAGTATGTATTTAAAAATGTATTTTGAAATGTATTTTGAATAAAACGTCATTCCAATTAAAAAATATAAATAGTTGACATCATACAAGATCGCGCTTCGATAATAATTACAGTATTCCGTTTTTTTTTTTTTATCTTGGAAACAAGCAGGATGGCATTCTGAAGCAATACGTTTTTTAACAGACTTTTTGATTAAAATAGGCCGGAAGCAGGTTCTCCAATGTAAAAACACTTCGCGATACATTTTTTTTATCATTTCAGGAAGACCCCATTTAAGAAATCTGAGTTGCAAGCCAAATTGCCTAGTACTGAAAATTATAATATTTCAAGGAACAACGTGTCTTGTTATATTGGATCCTCCTTTTTAATTTATTTAATTTTCTTTTAAGTTAAATAGATTTGTGTTCGGTTTAATTTGTTTGAGTTTGTTGCGTTTAGTTAAATTGCATTTGTCATTAGTTAAATTGCACTTACGTCGAGTTTAAATTGATTTGTGTTTGGGTTAAACTGATTTGCGCTGGGCTCAAATTAATTATCTATTGTTTGTATGTATTGGATTTAATTATTCAATATTTGACTAAAATTTAATATTTCAATTCTACTCCACACTTGAACTAGAAGGTTTTTTGGCTTACAACTATATCTTCGGGCCAATATTTTATATTAGCCTCCATTCATTTCGTTCATTTCGCCTCTCGCTTAGTGTTGGCTATTTGAAGGGGCTATTATTTTCTATTATTTTAAACTTTATCCATTTTTACCGTTTACACTAACTTTTAGCACCCCGCTGTCCCAACTATGCTACTAAGGATTCACGCTTGTTGCGCACCCAACTCACAGCGGAGGCTTCTAATTCATCAGAAAACATGCTACCCCCTTCGGAATCTACGAAAATGGACGTTGACGTCGAAATGAATTCACTAAATACAACACCTACTCAACCCATGGATATAGCTAAATGCCCATTAGTGCTGACCGCTGCTTCATCAACCTCGTCTGTATTCACACCTCCAACAGAATGTGCTATAAAAGCAGAACTCGGCAATTATAGCAACGAAACAGCTGACAGCAGTGTCGTTGAATGTATGGAGACGACAGAGATTACAAACACGATTAACGAACGTAAGCAGCCGGAACAGTCGTTAGATGAACGCATTGAGGGCATGATTTCGAAAATATTCAATGCTGCATGGAATGAACATAGTGTCGGCTCAATGATATGCCCGCGTACTGCCAATTTTCTTGAACAATATCCACATATGCGTTTTGATTTTGAAACGATCATACATGATCTACTGCTAGAGTGTGTGCTAAAGTTGTATAAAGAAGAGCATGATTCAACAGAGGGGGCTAGCGGCGGAAGCGTTGCAGCGGCTACCAACGAGGCCGATATTCCGTCTACGAGTGCTAGTAGCTCAGCAATAGCTGTAAGTTCCAGTGACAATAATAAAGCGACTTCATCGAAATCTGCCGCTGCATCTGCATTGGCGACGTCTACGTCTACAACATCGGCAGCATCATCAGCGAATCCCACTTATTCAACTCCGAAAAAGATTAAAAGCGATGACACGGAAGTACAAGAAATATTGGCAAATGCAGCGCCAGGCAGCGCAGGTGGCACGCGACCATCAATTTTCTTTTCAGAAAATGCAATGAGCGGTGGCGGCAGTAGTAGTACACGCGACGATGAACAACCCACATCATCACAGGGTAGGTTTTTGAATACTTGCGTAAGAAAAAAAGTTACATTTCAAATTTTATATTCTTTTTTATTGCCACTTATAACAGCAGCGACTACCTCAACTGCTGCTAATTTGGATTGCACCACCTATCCAGTACCAACGTCTGCCACAATGCGCGGCACTGTGGTCAAACAAGATGTCGTCTTATACTTGGTAAATTGTCATCGGCTACGTCAACAATACTTAACTGATAATAATGTTAGCAGCAGCAATGATCCAATTGAGGCGGCAACGAAAATTCAAAGCATACTACAACAAGTATATGACGCCGTAATGCGCACCACAATACTTGTGCTCACCGATCGCATCTATGAAAATTCGAATTATATATTAGATCAATCAGCCTTGCTGGAAATGCTCTACCAAGGTCGCATACCCGATGGATTCTTGTATGATTTGGTGGCTACCGCCTACAACCAATTTGAAGACTTTCAACAAATCTTTACACAACTTTTGCGTGGTCTCTTCATTGGCATGCAACGCAATATTTGTACAGCCAATATAAATACACAGCAAATTGATTTGTTATCTAAATTGGTCACCATTAAAGTTGGTTCGTCACGGCCGATATGTGATTTAATTGCTGCGCAAGTAAATTTCCTTCCTGAAATGTGTACGAAAATACCAGGCCGAGAAATAGTGAAATGCAGCTATTTAGGGCCATTCTTGTCCGTCTCGCTGTTCGCCGAGGAAAATGTGAAATTCGCAGAGGCGCATGGCAAAAGCAATGTCATTGTGTATAGCATGTACCACTTTCGTTGGGTGAGAATTACAATATTAAACAATGTTTGTACAAGATTTTCAATAATTTTGGATATATTTTTTTCGCTTAGGAAATGCAATCAATGCGCACGTCAATGCATACAGTCTTTCACTCGTTGCTCGTCAACGTAAATAGCCGCCCTAAAACGCTTGACTACATTGGCAAAATACTGCGCTACAACGAGCGTCGTGCACAGCTCGCTTGCGATGAAAAATTGCTTGCACGCGATGGTTTCGTCATAAATCTAATGAGCGTATTGCAACAGCTGTCGGTGAAAATCAAATTGGATCGCATCGATCCGGCTTTTCCCTTCTATAAAGACTCGTTGATCTCCATTGAGAACGATACGAAATTACGTTACGCTGACGACGAATATAAACAGTTCATTGAACGTAATTTTGCTACGGTCACACATAATGCCAACTTCCAGACGCAATGTTGGTTCCTAACACTTCAAGCGCATCATTTGGGCTATATGCCAGCCATACAACGCTATCGGCAGAAGGCACGCGCCATTAAAGAACTGCAAAAACTCATTGACGAAATCGATCGCACCAAATCGCATTGGGAGAATACACCATATGCGAAAAGGAATAAACAGTTTCGTGAACGTTGGCATAAGCAATTGAAAAAGTTGACCAGGTAAGTGGAGTGAATGTGTGTATATATGTATGTAGGTGGAACGCAGGTATATTATGCATTTGATGAGTTCAGAGAAGAAACAAACGTGACTTTACATAACATAAAAAGGGTTGGTTTCGAAATCAATTGGAACAAGGACGAAGGAAATGCGTTCCAAATACATCATAATCTTCGCCTGTCAAGGATTTTCTTTTCGTTTTTATATGCATATATCAATTAACGAAAAATATATATTTTAATTAGGTCCAAAATGTGCAGTGAACTATGCTTGCTCGATCCTAAACTTTTATCAGCTTGCATGTACTTCTATTCGACTGTTTGCGAATATCTACTATATCAAATTGAGGGACGTGCCATTGAGGGCCCATTCATAGCCAAGGTGCCGGTGCAACAATTGAAGCCGACCGATACATTTGCTGCACTGCCCGAGTGGTATGTCGACGATATTGCCGAATTCATACTGTTCGCCATGCAACATGCCCTCAATGATATACGGCAGACAATCGATCATTCGATAATCACATGGTTGTTGACGTGCGTCTGTGTGCCCAATCTCATAAAGAATCCTTATGTCACTGCCAAATTAGTTGAAGTGTTGTTTGTGTTCTCACTTGGACCACAAAATTCATTAAGCACATCTGTAAGCACAGTAAATCCAATGTAATTGATTTCTTTTATTTTATCATTTGCTCACACGTTTTTTGTTTTTAGATGTGGAATCATGAATTGGCACAGACTGTGCTTTGCAGCGCGCTAATGAAATTCTACGTAGATATTGAAACGACTGGACAAAGTACTGAGTTCTATGATAAATTTACTATTCGGTGAGTAATCTAGAAATAATAAAATTAATATATGTTTGTATGTTTTCGCTAATGAATTTGCTTTTCAGATATCACATAAGTCATCTATTTAAATCAATGTGGGAAAATCCTGTGCTACGGCAAGTAATGATAACCGAATCGAATTCGGGCAAACAATTTGTGAAATTTATTAACATGCTCATGAACGATACCACATTCCTGTTGGATGAATGCCTAGAAAATTTGAAGCGCATACATCAAACACAGGTAAAATTGCGAAATGATGAAGTAGAAGTAGTAGCAGATAAAATAAAATAAAATTCTCTTTCTTATTGTGTTTTCTAGGTGCTGATGATGAACGAGAGCGCGTGGGGGCAAATGAGCTCTGAACAGCAGCAAACTAGACTCTCGCAATTAAATACTGATGAACGACAGTGTCGTTCTTATTTGACACTTGCACGCGAAACTGTGGAAATGTTTCATTATTTAACGGTAAGTTCGATATTTAAACTAATGTTACATAACCGCCCTGCAAACCAAAATGCCCGAAATCTTAAGGAAATCGTTGGGAGTATCTCATTTCTGTAACGATTTTTTTTACGAATTTTCAAAGAAAATTATATGAAGTGGTTGACACGAACTCGTAAAGAAATTTCTGTACGAAAAATAAAGAAAATTCTGGAAAAATTCTGAAAGATATTCTTCACATAGCACCATTATTTTCGCTGCTTCACAGATTTTCTTCCGATCTTTACAATCTGGATTTTTATTTCTTTAAATGACGGAATATGCAGTTCATTGCTTCCTTGTTCTGACAGATTTTTTTTTTACACACGTTCATGATACGCTGTTCAACAACAACAAAACTGATCTGTAGTAAATATTTCTTCCGATAGGTGCAGTTCAAATACTAATTTTTCATATACCTACGACTTAAAAGAGATTAAAGACTGGTTTTCACTATGTCAAATTCAGTGGCATTTGTCGTCAAATGAAATCAAAAAGCGGTTTATAGATTGATTTGGATCAGGTTAGGTCTTTAGTCGTGTACATGCGCTGCGAAATCGGCCATCTGTCAGTTTTTAACCCATAATATCATCGGTAAAGGTATGGATAAAGGAGTTAAAGTTGTGTCAAAATATGTCGCCAAATTTTTTTGTCAAACTATGACATAGTGAAAACCAGTCTTAAGATTGCATTTAATGTTTATAACTGATATGTACTTGTATGTATATTAACCGCAAGCCTACAAGCTAATCAAATACATATGCATACATTTTTAATAAATTTTTGTTTTTAATTTTCAGAATGACATTAAAGAGCCATTCATGCGCGACGAAATAATCGATCGTCTCAGTTCAATGTTAAATTTCAATTTACAACAATTGTGTGGGCCCAAGTGCAATGATCTAAAAGTACGCAATCCAGCTAAATATGGTTGGGAACCACGTCGGCTGCTAGGCGAAATTTTTGATATATATCTACATCTGGACTGTGATAGATTTGCGCAGGCATTAGCCGCCGATGAGCGTTCATTTCAGAAGCATTTATTTGACGATGCTGCCAGTCGCATAGAACGTTTGGGTATACGTTCCACAACTGAGGTGGAAAAATTCAGGTCATTGATTAGTAGAGCCCATGATATTTATGGTAAGTTGTTGGCGGCATTGTTTCTTTTCCTTGTTTTTTTTTTGGATATTTCTGTATAAGATTTTCATTACTTTTACTACTACTATTTTGCAGTTGCAAATCAGCTAGCCGAAGATGAGTGCGCCGATGCGCCCGACGAATTCAAAGATCCTCTAATGGATACGCTCATGTCGGATCCGGTAATGCTGCCATCGGGCACGATTATGGATCGTGCTATTATAACAAGGCATTTGTTGAACAGTAACACTGATCCGTTCAATCGTCAGCCATTGACCGAAGATATGCTCGTGCCAAATATTGAACTGAAGGAACGTATCGATGCTTGGCGTAAGGAGCAACGTTTTAAGCGACAACAAGAGCAAAATGTACGCTTAAACGATAAGAGCAGCTAAATTATAGCATCAATGGCGTGTGGTATGTACTGTACGGTGAATGTGGCGAGCAAGCAAACAAACGAGAAAAGAAGTCAGCCAAGGTTGCAGTAGCCACATTTTACTTTTCAAGCTGTTGATGTTGCTATTGCTGTCGCTGAAATTGCTGCCGCCGATGTAGCAGCTTCTTATATGTTTGGCGTAGTTCATGAATCGAATTTTAATTAGTTGTTTTGTGTGTGTGCGTGTGTATGAAGAAAACAAAAAGGTCTTACTTAAGATAGCATTTTCTGCTTATATCATTTACCTCACCATAAGTTGAGGTAGACATTATTAAATGATTCCTTTATTATGTTTAGTTATTACCGAATTATAATAGAAATACTCTCACAATCAGTTATTGTTACATTTCTTTGTAATTATTATTATTATTTTTGTATTTCATAACTCTGTTACAAAAGAAGGAGGAACCGTCTATATTTATATCCTTTCATTATTATTAAAATTCTATTTTTGTTCTTGTCTTCGTATCTGTATTTATCAACTCTAGTGTGTATATGTCTATATGTAGCTGAAATTCGCAACAATTTAAATTTACGATATACGATATACATACATACATACATATGCAAGTGAAGAAAAACAAAGAAGCAAGCGAAAAAGGGAAATGTTGGTTGAAATTCCGGCCTTCTTCAATAATCCAATATTGTCAATTTGTTTAAGTATACCAACAAAAGCAAGCAGAAGAAAAGCTAAACGAAACAAAACAACAAAATGAAACAAAAAAAGGCGTTAAAAATACGATTTTTTTAAGTAAGAATTAGTTTGAAGCTAAGATTGAGGAAAATAAAAATTAAAAAAGTATAAATCATAAAAATATAATTAAAATATATGCGTAATATACGATGGCCTATATTTGATTTAATACAATTTTTACATATATGAGTACGTACATACATACATGCATACAAGTATATATATATATAAAAAAAATACAAACATACATACATTACATACAAATAGAAGTGTTAATTGTAAGCTATCTTTAGCATTAAATGGCGACGTCACCATTGCCGTTGCGCGTAAAATAAAAATTAATTTCTTGAAAAGATATTTAAAAGCGTAATAAATAGTTGGTTTTATTTAAATAATTTTTCTGTTATGAAGCGAGAAAGAAGGTAAGAATAATGTAGTGAAATTGTGTGTGGTATACCGTAAAAGTTTCAAATCAGACGACAATTGTCAGCTGGCGTTTATACCAGGCACTTAGAGAAGTCCAACAAGCGGTTATTCTGTATTATTCGACCTTTGATGCCGAACTACTATGGCAGGCGTGAGTACTTGGCAAAGCAATAGGGGATTCAAGGACGCACAAAATAGGTAAGCTCGGAAATTAAACATTAATTTCATTTCCTTTTTCGGGACCAGTACATGACCTTTTCATAACCACTTCGGGAATAGTTCAGGAATATTTCAGGATCATTTCGTGGCTAGTTTTGTAATGGTGCAGAAATAGCTCCGAAATGGTACTGAAATAATCGTGAACAGGCCCTGAAAACGCCCCGAGACGGTCGAAAAAGTTTGGAACATGTCCCGAAATGGTCTCGAACAAGTCGTTGATACGCTTCCGAAACGGTTCCTTATTAGTTCCTAAATGATTCCAAACTAGTCTCAAAATGTCCCTTAAATAGTCATGAAGTAGTCCCAAAATGATCCCGAACTAGTCGCAAAATGTAATCTCAAAATTGTCCTCAAATAGTTGTGAACCAGCTCCGAAATGATTTTCAACAGGTCCCAAAATGATACAAAACAAGTCCCGAAATAGTCTTGCAATTACAGAATTTCTGATGGGGGGTCACAAGAAGAAGTTACCAATTTCCTGCTGGGTTAACGCAAAGCTAAGATGTTTACCCAGCTAGCAAAATTTCCCGAATTCTGTTAGATATCCGTCATACTCGTCGGCAAAAAAGTCTGAAATCTTTATGATTTCTGGCCGATATCGGTCAGAGAAGCGTGTGGAGAGGTTGACAGGAAGTCTAACCGACACGTCGTGGGAAATTCTGACTTATTTACCGACGATTCTAACGGATATCTAACAGATGTCTGACCAAAATATCATACAAAATAAGAATAATCAGACGTGTCTGTCCGAAATCGGACATAATTCCATCAGACATGTCGGATAAGGAAATAAATAAAATTCTCCAGAAACTTCGCCCAAAAATCTATACGAAACCTGTAAGACTTGTTTAAATAGTCAACTTTTAATTCAGACATTTGTGCGACTTGTCTGATATCAGACATTGTCTGGCAGCTAGAACGGGTATACATCAAAAACTATTATTTCAAAGTGAGTGTTCATTAGTTGCAGCAGTGGGGCCCACTTCAATTATAATAATATGGATATAAACAAATGGACAAATATTTACAAATGTAGATACCAGTCGTGTGACACTGCCTTTAGGAAGTCCAAAAAATAACATTTTTTCTCGTAATTTCCTTGGAAAAGTACTTTAGGCTCATTGGTGGCGAACATTTTTTCTGGTCCGGCCTAGTGTGTATTGACAACACGAAAATACTATTTTTTCCTACGTGTAGTTTGGAATTAGGCATCAGTTTTGCTATTGGCTGGAATCAAAACTATCCTGCGTATTTTGAAATCTTATCGGTACCTTTCTGCATATAAATAGTGTTGAAAAGTAAAACGGTTTGTAAAGTAAAAAGTTATTAGTTTAGGTTGAAACGACTGACGAGCAGAGCACTTAGGGCAAGAATAATAGGGGTGTGGTGGTATATGTGGGCGTGCGCTTTTTTGTATGCATACTTAATCCCATCCTTCAGTTATCCATCTAAAAACTAATTTCGTATAACATAAAAATAGAGCTAAAGCAGACCATAAATATTGAGTTTCTAGATATCTTGACCCCAGCGCCACCTAGAGGGTTTGTTTTTGGCAAAAGTATTCCTTATTATATAAGAAATATATACTTCTCTTTTGAAGCTGTAACCGCCTAAGCGATTTTAGCCGAGTTCAACAAAGTACGCCAGTTGTTTCTCTTCTGTGTCAACTTACGCAAATTCGGGATGTGAAGTGAAGCCAAATCCTTGGTCTTTCTATCGCAGTTGGACCTCCCTTTTCCTCTACTATCATCAGCTGATTCTGAGTTGTAGGCTTTCAGGGCTGGATCGTCGGTGTTCATTCGAACAACATGGCTAAGCCAGCAGAGCCGCTGTAATTTAGTTCGCTGCATTACATATGTCCATGTCGTTGTAAAGCTTATACAGCTCATCGTTCCATCGTCTGCGGTCGCTAAAGCGTAAAGACCCCTAAACCTTCCGCAAAATCTTTCTCTCGAATACTCCAAGAACCGCCATTCCCACGACAGCCGGTTCTACGTACCGGAATGACTCGGGTTTTACCCGACCAAGGGCTGTTGTTTCGGCGATCTAACCCCGTTTAGGTCGGCGAAGTATCTCAGAAGTTGTTCGTCCGTAGGGCTACATTCACTACGTATTCTTCTACTCAGGGCTGGCATCGAGTCAAACCCAGGGCCAGAAATCTACACCTGCTGCGTATGCCGGAGACGACTACACCACAACTCCACCTCTGTTAAGTGTAATGCCTGCGAGGGGTGGAGTCACCTTAGAGTCTGCTCAGGACTACGGACACATCGACAGTGGACCACGTCGTACGTGGCCCCCTGTTACTCAAACAGAGCAGCCTCCACGGCCAACCTCAGTCCACCCGAGCAGCCTCACACAGTCACCACAACACAACAACATAATAACACCACAGACCATACCACAGCCACGACAGACCACATAACACACACAACCGCACCACCACCCACACGCCGCCGCCAACAACTCCTGGTTCCCCCTACAATCTGCACGGTATGTCAGACCAGGATATTCCGTAATGTGACATCAGTAAAGTGCAACACTTGCCTTGGCTGGTACCACTTTAGGGCATGCTCAGGTCTGCGTACCACGCGAGTTTGGACTGGGAACTTCGAGGGCCCGTGCTGCGCTGCTCGGTCGCAGACCCCAACTGCGACGCCTCCCGCCACCACCACAGGGCGGCAACCATCACAGCAGCGCACACAGCCAACGGCGGTAAGAACACACACATCACTTACACCCCACTTCACGACACGTCTCCCGAACCACATGAAGCTCCTTCGATTTAACTGTAACGGGCTACAGAGCAAGATTGAGGAGATAACCGTCTTCATGTGTCGGCATGGTATATTGATAGCTGCGGTCCAAGAGACGAAGTTGCACGGGTACAACGTGCACCGGGTACAACGTGCACCGTCGAGATCGCGAGCGAGATAATGGTAGTGGCTTAGCGTTCATCACGCACCACACCGTGCAGTATCGTCTAATCGAAGCAGACATCGACCGCAGGGATACCATCCTAGAATGTCAGGGCATCGCTATCCGGTCAGGCGATGTCGAGCTCGAAATATTTAACATATACATACCCCCTGTCACCTGCTGCCCGGCAGGATATCACCCTGATATAGGTGCGCTCCTCAGAGGTGAAAACCGTATGGTAGTAGGTGACTTTAATGCGCACCACGATCTTTGGCACTCAAGCCTGTCAAACGATCGTAGGGGAACAGACTTGGCTGAGCAGATAGACGATTCGACATTCTGCACAATGAACGACGACGCACCCACCAGGATTATGGGTAACTGCAGTAGCTCGCCAGACATCACCATAGTCAGCGCTGGTCTGATAAACAGCATAACATGGCGACCTATGCTGACTTTAGCATCAGACCACCTACCCATAGTCATCTCGATAGATAAACCAACCGACTTTGCCTCCGCCAAACACCGGACCTATATCAATTTTTCTAAAGCTGATTGGAAAGGTTACGCGGAGTTTACCGAAAACACCTTCACAGCGCTCCCCACACCAACCGACGTCCATCTCGGTGAACGTAAGTTCCGCAGGGCTGTCACTGCTGCTGCAGCTCGCTTCATACCGACAGGATGTATAACAGACCCACGTCCAAACTTCCCTGCCGAAGCGGCTGTTCTAGCCGATGAGCGTGATAGCCTTCGTCAGGCCGATCCCGGAGATCCCCATATCAGAAGTGGGAGCAGCATCTGAAGACCTGTAACTTCACCCCTGGTGTGAGCAAGCTTTGGTCAACCGTGAGGTCGCTGTCCAATCCGACGAAGCACGACGACAGAGTCGAAATTTCCTTCGGCGACCATGCTTCGTCGGACCCGGAGCGATGC